AGACAAAGTTATCTTTGGGTCAGGCTGAGATGGAGTACAGCTTGCTCCCTAAAGCTTTTTTGTACCATAAAATCAATAATACACTCTAAATTTCTGTGCCAGCTTCTTTTTTTCTTTAATACTCTGGGAAAGGTATCCCTGTAAACTTGGCTATTTTATATTGCCAGGAACAAGAAGGTAGAAATGAACACATCTCCTCTCAGTTGTTGGAGGCAAGGTTAAGAAAAAGAAAGCGGCTTTCTCTAAGAGTAGAGAAAAGCTATTTTTTAGATAAACAGCTTATAACAATTAAAAAGTGTTAAATGTAGATAGGAAACTTAGGAGGCAGTGAGTTTCTGTTAACAGGGGAGGAACAACTCTGAAAAGGAGGGTGAGAATGGTTGCATGACTCGAAGAATGTAATCAGTGTCACTAGATTGTACATGAAGAAACTGTTGAATTGGTGTATGTTTTGCTGTGTATATTCTCAACAATAACAACAACAAAGTGTCAAATGATCTTGAATATACTACTTTCGACCACTATTCTTACTAGACTATTATTCTACTTATAGATAAAAAATAAGTCAATCCAAAAATGCTACTTATAAATAAGCTTTTATTTATAGAAAAATATATTATTTAAAAATTAGAATAGGGCAAGGCCAAGAAAATAGCAGTTTCTTTCAGTCTACTCCACACCACTCCTCAAACCTTGTATCTGGCCCGAATAACTCCTTCATTCTAGGTACTCTATGTCTAGGTCACTCTATGTCAAGGATTTCCTTGAAAATATCAATCTAGAAATGGAAATAAAGTCAGTTTAATACAACTTGCTCTCATTTAATGCATACTGAATCTTAGTGATCATAATTTTCTCTTTTTGTGCTCACTGACTACACTTCTTTAATAAGCTACCGGAGAGGTTAACGAGCCCGATGAGGAACAACTCATTCTGCACGCTGTCTATTTAAAGATAATTGGCATATCACGCTTTCCCTATGATTTCTCTAGAGCTGCACTGTCCAATACAGTAGCCACCAGCCTGATGTGGCTACTTAAATTTAAATTAGTTAAAATGAACTAAAATTAAAAATTCCATTCTTCAGTCGCATTAGCCACATTTCAAGTGCTCAACAGCTGCATGTAGCTAGTGGCAACTGTTCTGAACAGCGAAGAACGCTTCCATTGTTGGAGAAAGTTCTTTTGGACAGTGCTGCTCCGTATCGACACTGATTCAGTGATGGCAAATTCCTTCATTCAAAACTAAAAGACAAACTGGTCCTTGGGGGTTTTATGTAAAGATCAGTGGCTCAGGCACAATCACTTGGCTACCACTGAACTACCACCAATTGTCTAATAACCGTCTGCAGAAGCTACTGGACTGTGACCCATTCAGCAACCAAGAAGAAACCTCCAAGCCTCTCCAAAGAATCACTAATCTCCCTAGGCCTCTACAGAAATGAGACTCAGCCTGTCTAATCACAGGGAATTTCTGACTCCTAAAAGGTTTTCTAGCAATTAGAAAATTGGTTGAATAAACTCTCAATATCTAAAAATCACGAGGTTATGGGAATGTCAAACCTATATAACAAGAGGACACTTGGCAGAGCCAAAGGATCCTTGGATTACTTATGCATGTGTTTAGCATTAAAAAAAAAATCTCACTGAAATTATGGAGAATACCTTGCACATTTGGCTGAGACACCAATGAATACTGTCTTAATAAGTAACATTTAATTGGCAACAAAAGAATGGAGCTTTTCCAAAATCCCATAGCATTCTAGACTTTTCTTATGGGATGTCAAACTTTTAACCATGAATCACAGTTTTCCACTGGAAAAGCTACATCTAGATTTTAAGTAGGCCTTCTGAGGATACAGATAGTATTTCATTTGTCTCTGTCTCTCATAGTACCTGACAATGTTTTGCAGGTAACGGGTGCTCAATAAAGGGTTGCTGAATATCTTGATCATCAAATGATGGGAGAAAAGCACACAGGAGACCACAGAGGGTCCCTGGGAGCCACTGCCACAGTGTAAAGGAAGAAAGGCTGATGATCAGATTCTAAAATAAACTAGATTTCCACCAGCAAATTAATCTCATTTCTCTATCTTACTCATTTCCAAAGATATTGTGTTCTCCCAATGTAAAGATAACCTGACTCAAAGAACCTGGTGTTCTAGCATCTATGCAAACATACCAGGGGAAGGAGACAGGATGTCCTAGTCTAACAGCTACTTAGAGTAGATGAGATCTGTGAACTGATGTTGTTAGCGTTGTTAGGTGTTCTAGAGTCAGTCCCGACTCATAGCGACCCTGTGCAAAACAGAATGAAACACTGCCTGGTCTTGTGCCATCCTCACAATCATTGTTATGCTTGAGCCCATTGTTGCAGCCACTGTGTCAATCCATCTCATTGATGGTCTTCCTCTTTTTTACTGACTCTCTACTTCATCAAGCATGATGTACTCCTCCAGCGACTAGTCCCTCCTAATAACATGTCCAAAGTACATGAGACGTAGTCTTGCCATCTTTGCTTCCAAGGAGCACTCCGGTTGTACTTCTTCCAAGACAGATTTGTTTGTTCTTCTGGCAGTCCATGATATATTCAATATTCTTTGCCAACACTGTAATTCAAAGGCGTCAGTTCTTTTTCAGTCTTCCTTATTGACTGTTCAGCTTTTACATGCATATGAGGTGACTGAAAATATTATGGCTTGGGTCAGGCACACCTTAGTCCTCAAAGTGACATCTTTGCTTTTTAACACTTTAAAGAGGTCTTTTCCAGCAATTTGCCCAATCGTTTGATTTCCTGACTGCTGCTTCCATGGGCATTGATTATGGATCCAAGTAAAATGAAGTCCTTGACAACTTCAATATCATCTCCATTTGTCAGCTAGTAAACTGACAGATTATTCAATGAACTTGCTATGTAAGAATGGAATATTACTGAGGAAAATTTTCACTTACTTCTATGGAAACACCTCTTACCAAAAAGCATTTCAAAGCAAACAGCTTTTTGCGTAAAAAGAAAAATAACAGGCCAATGAAAAGCAAAGGCCATAGTCAAGAATAGCCCCAGAAAGGAAGATAAAGAAACAAATTTAGAATTGATGATAAACTGAAGTGTTATATTTTTGTTTTAATAACCAAAGAAGGAAGTGTAGCCTTCTTTGGGCACCAAAGTTACAAGACAGTAATAATTTAGAAAATATAGTATTGATTATCACACTCAACAGCTGGTTCCCTCTCCCCCACAACGTACCTTCATTATAGCCTCGAGATAAGCTGTCCAAATCTTCTGTGTTTTGGCAATGGCGGAAAAATAAATTTTATTCGAATTTGCTGAAAGGTTAAAATACAATTTTCTATTTAGTAAATCTGGAAAGGCTGCAGTGTTATCTTTAACTCAGACTAGTCTCAGGACACTTACCTACAATACTTTTTAGGGGGCTGACAGCATTCATGAGGGTTTTTAAAGTATCTTGAACAGCTCTGTCTCTCAGGATAATTTTCTGAAACATACTGAGGAAATTCTAAAAACAAGAAGGCATGATCAAAGAACCAAACAGCATGAGCAAGATGAATAAATTCTCCAGTTAATTAAAATGCTACAAAGAACAGAGAGTGAGCCTAAGTTACGCCAGGTCTATAAACAGGATGACAGAGCAAGGCAGTAACTTTGGGTTCTCACTAGAAACATCCCTTGTAAAAAAGTTACTGGTTTCAAAGATAAAAGGTCTTCCCAAGTTGAAATCCACAGAAGCAAATTACCCATAAAAGTACTACACTGAACAATGTCACTGAACAATCTGTGTAGAAATTGTTGAATGGGAACCGAAACTGTTGTGTAAACTTTCACTGAGAATATAATAAAATATTATCTAAAAAAAAAAAAAAAGGTACTACATTGGCCAAAAATATTCTAGTCTATTCTGTTCTTACCTATCTACACTTGATGCTAGTATAAGAAAGCACGAAAGAAAAAAAAAAGTTAAAGGCGCTTAAACTGTCCAGCAAGACCTATTCCCATCTCTTCCAGGGTAGCAGAACGTACAAGGCTCACCTGTAACTCTTTTACAATCATAAAGCACAGAAGCCTGTCTAAGCCATTCAGACCAAAGGTCCCCAAGGTGGTCTGGATTTCCGAGAAGAGGCGACTGCTGGTCACTTCTTGATGAGTTTTCATATCATACCAAGTGTTTAGCTGGTCAATGTGACATGTCATTCTAAAACAAAACAAAACAAAATAAATGAAAAATCCAAAAGCAATTCAGAATTCATCCTAAAGAGATGTGGGACTCATCAGGAATTGAAGCATCAAATATGAAGTATAACAGTTACATCTGTGTTTTCTAACTTTTGTATCAAACATATCTTCATGGTGATCGCCCAACAGGCCAGTAAACTGAAATCCGGTTAAATCATTCTCCTACCCTAACCTATGGTTTGAGTGACATATTTCCCGAGGTAAACTGCTGTTTCAGCCACGATGACGAGACGAGGTTAGGCTTGGTTGTCCAGCTGGAGGACTTTAGAGCCCAGTTGTGTTCTTCATGTGGTCGTTCTTTTAAATTTCCAGAGACAAACGAAAGCCTGTGGATATTGCCATTTTGGTAAAGAAAGGGACCTGGAATCCTCACTGTGAAAACATATGATATGCTAGAAACTCAACTCAACTATGCATGCAGAGCTGAAGAAGAGAAATCGCTTTTTTGCTGGGTCGTTCCACCAGCTGTTCCACTTAGTGAGCATGTGCCCAGGAAGGAACATGAGATAGAAGACATGAACCTGCTCTTCCCACACTTTGTCTTAGTACCAACTGCTGCATCTGAGGCTCAACTGAAGAACAAGGAGGAAAAACACACTCCACTGGACTTAACTGAGAGACGCAGCAGGTTAATCTCCAGCATGGTGTCCACCTAAAATGTTCTCAAGGGCAGTTCTGATTATACAAGATTTTTGCCCAGTTCTTGCTGACTTTAGAAGCCGTGGGGCCCAAATGTAAACTGGGATTCACTGTATGTCAGAGCTGTGCAGTCGGTCTTTGAACAGCACAGAGTGTAAGAGCCGGGCTTGGAGTCAGAGAGCTCTGTGTACTGTGTGGGTCCACCACTTATTAACTATTTGGTCTTGGGCAAGTGACTTAGCTTTTCTGTGCCTCAGTTACTTCATCTTTAGAACGGGAATAATAACAATGTCTACCAGATGAGACTGCTGTAATGAGTCAATGAATGTATGTGTAAAATGTGCTGAGAACAGTGCACAGAGTAAGTGCTCAGTAAGTGTTAGTTCTTACTATCAAAAGTGCTTGTGTGCTGGGCTAAGAAACAAGGAGGTAATCTGAAATGCTCAGGGTAAAATCCAAACCAAACTCACTGCCACCGAGTCGACTCCAACTCATAGTGACCAACGAGAGTAGGACTGCCCCAGAGGGTTTCCAAGGCTGTAAATCTTTATGGAAGCAGACTGCCCCATCTTTCTCCCATGGAGTGGCTGGTAGGTTCAAACCGCTGACCTTTCAGTTAACAGCCAAGCACTTTAAGCACTGCACCACCAGGGGTCTTTATGAGCTGACAAATGCAAGATCCAGTGACCAGTCTGGGGAAATGTGCCAGTTACACAAGGTACAGCTGAGCAACCTGTAATAAAAAGTCTTAGTATCCTGTGGAGTCTACGGGGCTAAGTGAGAAGAATGTCAGTTAGAAGGCAAGAGCAGCAAAGACAGAAGGGCAGCTAAAGAGACCTTAAGCTTGTTTCAATCTATGTTTTGTTGGACAGGGGCCTCCTTAGCCACACTGGAGAAAAGATAGAGTCTTAAAAAGAGTTAACTGTAATAAACCCATTAGTAGGGATTCAACATTGGCAGAAGTAAGGGTGTGATCTGAGGATACACGACGCATGTTTGGAGACTTCGACTGTCCATGTGAGCAAGGCCAGTGGAATTCAGAAACACCTACTTTGGGTCTGTGATCCGCAAGATTTCTCTGCAGAGTCGACCAATAAATGTTACAGACTCGTCCACAGGGGTAAACTTTGGTATTGGAATATGAGTGGACTGGTACATACTTTGCCAGTCTTGAATCTAGAAAACAAAACCATAAATATTTAGTACATCTTTGATAATGTAACTTAGTTATCCTTTTCCCACATATTTTGACAAATATTGCATGAACAGTGATAATAAAGGGTCGTTGGTTTCGAAGAGGAAACTTTTAAAAATGTTTTAACAACCTCCCAGAATGCCACATATCACATTTATAAAAAAGAAACATTTGTGAAGAAGTGAAGTGACTGAGAAGTGTGAAGAGGAGACTCAGGAACTTCTAGCTTTTTGTCTTGTGAGATGACATACATCAGTGTAATCTAAAAGTCCAGAATGTCCTAAGGCTGGGAGATACTTAATCTTTCTAAAATGACACCTGAATCATGTCAATTCCTAATTAAAAACTTGCAGAGTAGCTCCTTGTTAGCTACTGATGAAACGCACACTTCTTAGCTTTGCCACTTAAGAATTTTGATGCTAACCTGGCCTCTTCAATTTTCTTTTGTGTGACTATTTTCTATCCTGGCCAGCAGTGCTCCACAGTCCCCTTCACAGCCTTGTGTTTCACCTGCATACTTCTGATCCTGCCATCTCCATTTCTCCATCTCCCCATCACTGAAACCCACTAAGGTCCAGCTGGAGCGCTACCTTCTATATGAAGCTTCCCCTATCAAGCCCAACTGAAGAAGTCCTGAGGCTTCTGAACTCCCGACCACTTGGATTACAACAGTCACAACAAACTTCATTCTGTAGCCATCTGAGTACGGTATGTCTGCTTTCTCCTTAAGGAGCCTTGGTGGTGCAATGGGTAAGTGCTGGCTGCAAACTGAAAGGTCAGCAATTCCAATCCACCCCGCGGCTTTGTGGGAGAAAAGACCTGGCGATCTGCATCTGTAAAGATTACAGCCCAGGAAACCTTACGGGGCAGTTCTACCCTGTCATATAGGGTTGCTGTGAGGCACAACTGACTCCACGGCAACAAGGACAGCTATCTTCTTAGGACAGTAAGCTCCCCAAGGCAAGGTGCCGCGTCAACTTTTCTGCATTCCCCACACTCCTGAAGGGACTCCCAAGGTATTCATGACTATCTATAGCTTACTGATTTTTAGAAATTACTTAAATAAACTTTCTTCTTGGTATTTCTGAGGTTTGGGGGTTTTATTTTAAATGTTAAAAATAAAAAATACGGTCAGCAGTTAAAAAAAATTTTATATACCTTTGTTCTTAAGAAGTTATTACACTCTTGCTCCACGTTATAATTTATAATACGAGAAACTTCTTCTTGCCAAATCTTCAGACCATAAATGTTGACATAGTCCTGTATGTATTCAAAAGAACGATGGAATCCATCCATGGTAGCCCCCAACTCTTTCAGCTTGGGCATCAACTCACTTGGCTGTGCAAAAAGGGAGAAGTAATTCTATTACATTGGAGTAGACTGTCAACCATTAACACTTACATGAGACTTTAAATGACACACCAAATAAGAGACGAGAGTCATCGTTTAAGAGAGCTTTGGAAAGACTCATATTTTACCTCACAACTGATGTAAGACATTCAGCAAAAAAATAGATTTCATTCATTTGGGAAGAAAACCTCATACAAAGGAATGTAAAAAATGGTGTGGATTATTTCTCTCATGTATTTGATGACTATATCTAATCTGAAAACATAATAATTCATAATTATTAACTCAATAATTTATTGAGTTAAAAAGTACCCTATATATAAATTTTAGGCCTCATTTTTTTCTCAGAAAAATAACCATATTCCATAACAGATAAAGCAAAGTAAAAAATTATGGCCTTTGAAGTTCCTATATGACTTAGGGTTATGAAATTCTTTTAACTGTATGAAGGAACTCTGAATCAGAAAACATGAGTTCAATTCTTAAACTTGTGGATCAATATGTGCAGGAAAGACGCAAGGGTTTCAAAAAGGATTTTCTAATAACGTGAATGGATTATAACAGAAGATCAAAAAGCACTTCAGTTGTTCTTATTGGAAATCACATACATTAGCTATACATTTGATAAGAGGAAAGATCTAGCTCGTAAGAGGTTAAAAATGGTGTTCTAGTCCATTTTGCAAGCTGAGTGAGGAAAAAGGATAGAGCCACTGCAGCCATTTGGTACCTTGGCTCGAGGGTTGAAGATCAATCCCCTATGAAGGGCGAAAGCAACACGTTTAACTAGCTCCTTCCTTATTCCATCTTCCAGCAACTGCTTTGGATCCACCTAAGTGCAAACCAAAAAAGAAAGAAATGGCAGTTAGGAAAAGCTCGATCTTAAATAAACCCAGAGGAAAAATGGTTCCCAGAATCCACAGTGGAACTTTCCTTCCTCACCTCTAAATGACTGTGATTTTTTTTTCCTTCCCTGCCCCCTGTGACCTTGGGCAACTTAGACAGAATTATTAAACCTCTCGCCTTCTTAGGACTTGATTTGTCTCACAGAAATTCATGATGCTAGAGTTACAACAGAACTTTTCAAAGATGGAGGCGGGGTACGGTAATTTAAAATTGCCTCACATTTTTGTCATTTCGTTAAAACTAACAAGTGCCTTTCCTTATCACTAGGAGGAGGTGGTGGAATGAAAAGCTGAATTCAGATGTGTGTCATTCTTCCAAAAGTTATCTCAAGAAATCTATATCCACATGAAGAAAATCAAGTTTAGTGTTGGACCACTCTGTAGATTTAACAAGTCTCTTTCCTTTTGGCGTTCTCGATGTGCTGCTTGTAATTAGGAAGATAAAATAGGAGAAAGCATATCTACTACCTAACTCTATAAAATTTGCTGATTATTTTTTCTGTAATGAGAAAGCTTTTTTCATTCCCTAAAAGACACTAGGATCCAGAAAACATCAAATAATTGTAGCATACTTTCTTGAATTCCCTGAGACTTGTTTCTTTTAGGACCTATGAGTTGGGATGGACTTGACGGCAACGGGTTTGTTTGGTTTTCTTTTTTGTTTTGGTGGGGGGGTTGTTTCTTTTACTTTGTAATGAACCATTATTTGGAAACGTCATAAAGAAGACAACTGATGGGTTTTATCTGGTTTTGATTATCTTTAAACTTAACGAAGAAAACTGTAATAATGGTGCAAACAGTTAAGTGCTCAGCTGATAACCGAAAGGTTGGTGGTTCGAACCCAACCAGTGACTCCATGGGAAAGAGACCTGGCGATCTGCTTCTGTAAAGATCACAGCCAAGAAAGCCCTTTGGGGCAATTCTACTCTGTCACATGGGGTCGCTATGAGTTGAAAAAGACTTGATGGCACCCAACAAACAACTTTACTACTAGGCCACAGAGACTAGCATCAAAACTGTTACCTTGATAATGCCAACCAAAGTCGTTTTCATCATTAAGATGCCTTCAGTAAAAATGGAAATAGCATGAGTAAGCTTGGCAACCTTTAACAAAGAAAAAGAGGTACTATGAAGTACTTCAGGCGAAAGACCCATTATTCCCACGGGAAGCTAAAATAATTGGCTAACAGTCCTGGAGTGGTCAAAGAGAACAGAAATGAGTATGCAGCTTCAGGACCCCTGTGTATACACATCTAGACAGAAATGAGGCTTTGGGGTATACCTGAAAGACCACTGTTAGACATATTGGGTAACTGAGTGAGAAGACTTCAGTTAGCTCTTTTAACATTTGACAAATCATTTCCTCTTCTTTGGGCTTCAGTTTCTTTCACCCATCCAATGAGAGGGCAGGACTCAATAATAGGGATGGTCCCTTCCAGCTAGAAAAGGACAAATGGGACTCTGAGAAGGTAATTTCCCCTTCACTGTCCTCCACATTTTTTTCAAGCAACACCAGGAGTCATTGATAAGGCAGACAGAAGCTGTATTTTTGAGTTAGAATAAATGTGGACATACCAAGCTTAGTAATCTAAATTCCTGATGTACTTCTTGGAGTTGTGTCAGAGGATATGAAATGGACATTGGATACTGCTTTTTCAATTTTCACTTGATTTTACTTTTCACAGCTTTAATTTTAGTTCAGAGAGAAAGAAAAGCAGAGGTATTTGGGGAGAACAACCTCTGAGACTGTGTAACTACTGAGTGGGCTTAAAAGTCTGGCCGTTATGAAGTGGTTAATGGGATACAGATTATTTTGAGCCACTGGAATGGTGTATAAAGTAGGAACCTGAATGTCAAGCGCCTAGGGAATTTAGCCTAAAGAGAAGGGCTGATTTACCAAAATTGTTCAAGAGGAAAGTGACCAGCTGAGCTCCATTTCCACTGAGCAACTAGCAAGGTGTTAAATGAAATGTAGAAAATAAAGGTCTGATGGTACTAAAATGGCACATCATGGTTATCATTTAGCATTTGAAAAACAAATCAGCCTTGGTCCTGTGGTCATGAGGACAGCCATGCAGGGGATGGCTTCTCAACGTCCCTTTGGAACCTGTGAAATTTCATGGTACTTAGTTTTAAGTATCAAAACGCAAAAGTCTCCGGAACACAGCACCTCGTATCGTGGGACAAGCTGGGCATAGTCCCTCAGCTTGTCTTTGTCCAGGCGGGTAGGCACTTCAGCGATATCATGGGTCTGAAGCTTTATGATCTTCAGAAGAGAAGTAAACATACTTTCTGGAATGATCTGCAAAACCTTTAATGAAAGAGAAAAGAGGAAAAACAATTGAACATGTTTTCTTTTTCTTAGCTGATAAACATTAGGATGAAGGGTGCCAGCATTCACAAACAACATTTTGCACAGGAAGGGATGCTGAGATACCTAGAAGAGCCATTTTAATAACTGCTACCATGCCTATGGAAACCCTGGTG